CCTAGAAGTGCTGTCTGGAGTTCATACAGGCAAGCACCAAAGGCTTTTTCCAGAGATGGGGAATATCTTGGTTGAGTTATTAAGAACTCCTAGGTAAAATGCTTGAGCAGCAATCTTCACAAAAACACAGTTGGTTAGATCTCAAAACCATAGGTCTCAATATGGAAAATAGAAGATGGGGTTTGCTCTTGTCCAGCTTACCATGAATGCAGAAATCTTGATTTTCATTGCTCCTCTTCCTCCACCCCCAACTATCTCAAGACAGGACTAATATTGAGTGGTAGGACAAGGAGCCGAGTTGAAATTCCTCTCTACTGTTTCTGGTCATTCTGCTGACTTGTTAGAAGACATTAAGCAACAACGTAAGTACTAAGTCTGCATGATGAAAAAAGCAAGAGAGAGCAAGCTAGCACCAAACTATTTAGGCCTGGAAGCCACAACTGGGAACCCAACCTCTAGCTAACACTCCTGCACGACAACATACAGATATTTCTACATGGTACTATGCTACACAGTCCATTTTACATGTCACACAGTTCTGATAATGCTTACCTATATATATAATACCCCCCTATATATGGGTTGCTGTCAAACTAAATTTATCCAAGTCAAGCGATTTAAGTCTTTGGATGACAGGGCCTCCCATTGAGCAAGTGGAAATTATTGCCAACATTATAAAATGAGTGGGTGCTGCTTAGACTGAGCATTAGCTCTTCAGAACATGGTTGCTAACGAAATAACAATGGGCAAAGAAGCACTTGCCTTTCAAGTTAGTATCTAACAGGAATAGAAGCAGACTGTAACAAAGGATAATTGTTACAGTTTGAATCCTAGAGTGGAAATTAAAGAGATTAATGGAACGAAAAAGATTTTTCCTTTATCTTGGTACAATCTGAGGAACAATCCTGTCATTTTAGTAAGACACCCACCTTTTTAGTTAAAGGAGGAAAGCATAACTAAGCAATGTAAAGAGAGAACCTTGTTTAGAAATAAGGAACATAGATGAGAAAATGCTTAACTGACCAGATGTGTCCAAGATTTTTTTATTTAGCTCTTAAAATCTCTATAGGTGATACATGGAAGCAGTGGAGTGAATACTGCAAGAACAATTTCACAGAAAGTGAGAGAGGATTGGCAGAAATAATTGGAAAGGTCATCAGTTAATGCTAGTAAACCTTTGCTTTTCTGTTTTGGGGAGGATGATAGCTATAGCTAAGAAGAAGATCTTGGGAGTGTCTTTTGGGAAAAAAGAAAAACTGGGTGGTAAAGGAGGAAAATTATACAATTTTTCAAGCACAGAATTTTTATACTTTATTAGACTTCAAATCTGTTTTCATTTGTCTGTTGCTATTTATACCTATTTCAAATACCTACTTAAGCTCAACATTTGTGAGAGGCAAAAAACCTGTGGCCATGAAGACTCTTTTCAGCAGAGTAACAGAGACTGGAACATCATTCAAAACTGTCAGTTGTCCTTTTCTATTTAAAGGCAATGGATTATTTCATTTAATATTCTCCAATGCACGTAAAACAGTTACTTAGCTTTTCTGAATGTAGTTCTCAATCCTGATTAATTAAGATTCAGGGACTTTAGCAATCTTCTCTTCATAAGCTTTGCAGAAGTCTCTCTTATTTAAAGCTTTTACCCCAATCCTTTTTCAAAATAATATACTATTCTATTATGGAAAGACAGCAGAAAATTCATTTATGGCTTATAAAAAATATTTTTTTTCCTGTTATTACAGCAGACTGTCTTGTAGCATAGAAGCCTGTTTCTTGTCAGTGGCTAGAGATTCACTGTAGATGCCTCTACTCAACAGGAATCTATCATTTTAATTGACAGTTCATTTAGGGCTGTCAGTTATTAAAAGCAGAGAGCTAACACAGCTTAATACTTGCCTAGACCATAGCATCTTTTGTAGGACTGTAACTGGTGTTTAAAATGGTATTTACATCAGAATAACAACAAATCTGTAGTAGTGTCTAAAGCCGTACTTCAGAGGGGCTGTTGTAACCACCCTCTTGCTGATGGAACACACTGAGATGGTAAGAATATGCTACTGCCACAGTTCGGGTTTGGCTCCTTCTCCACCATCAGCGTTCAGTTTAACATCAACACGCCACCTCTAGGCATCAGGCATCAGCCCTCAGCCCTTGCTAGATTAATCCAAATGAGGTTACATTCATCTTATCTGAACCATTTTTGCCTGATGCCATAGTCACTGCACTACAGAATCATAGAATCGTTTAGGTTGGAAAAAGCCTTTAAGATCACCAAGTCCAACAGTTAACCTACCACTGCCTCCCCACCGCTAAACCATGTCCCTAAGCACCTTATCTGCCCATCTTTTAAATAACTCCAGGGATGGGGACTTGACCACTTTCATGGGCAGCTTGACAACCCTTTTGGTGAAGAAATTTTTCCTAATGTCCAACCTAAACTTGCCCTGGCACAACTTCAGACCATTTCCCCTCATCCTATCGCCCGTTACCAAGGAGAAGAGGCTGACCCCCACCTCACTACAGCCTCCTTTCAGGCAGTTGTAGAGGGTGATAAGGTCTCCCCTCGGCCTCCTCTGCTCCAGGCTCAACAACCCCAGCTCCCTCAGCTGCTCCTCATCAGACTTGTGCTCCAGACCCCTCACCAGCTTTGTGGCTCTCCTCTGGACATGTTCCAGCAATGCAACATCTTTCTTGTAGTGAGGGGCTGAAAACTGAACACAGCATTTGAGGTGCAGCCTCACCAGTGTGGAGTACAGGGGCACGATCACTGCCCTGCTCCTGCTGGCCACACTATTCCTGATACAAGCCAGGATGCCATTGGCCTTCTTGGTCACCTGGGCGCACTGCTGGCTCATATTCAGCCGGCTGTCAACCAGTACCCCCAGGTCTTTTTCTGGCAGGCAGCTTTCCAGCCACTCATCCCCACACCTGTAGGGTTGCATGGGGTTGTTGTGACCCAAGTGCAGGACCCGGCACTTGGCCTCGTTGAACCTCATACAGTTGGCCTCGGCCCATCAATCCAGCCTGTCCAGGTCCCTCTGCAGAGCCCTCCTCCCCTCGAGCAGATTGACACTACCACCCAGTTTGGTGTCGTCTGCAAACTTACTGAGGGCACACTCGATCCCCTCATCCAGGTCACTGATAAAGATATTAAACAAGACCGGCCCCAGAACTGATCCCTGGGGGACACCGCTTATGACTGGCCACCAACTGGATTTAACTCCCTTGACCATGACTCTCTGGGTTCAGCCATCCAGCCAGTTTTTTACACAGCAAAGCGCATGCCTGTCTAGGCCATGAGCCACCAGCTTCTCCAGGAGAATGCTGTGGGAGACTGTGTCAAAGGCTTTGCTGAAGTCCAGGTAGACAACATCCACAGCCTTTCCCTCATCCACCAGGCAGGTCACCCCATCATAGGAGGAAATCAGGTTGGTCAGGAAGGAGCTGCCCTTCATGAACTGTCTGGGCCTGACCCCCTGATTGTCCTCCATGTGCCTGGTGAGCGCATTTCCCGGTACTGAGGTCAGGCTGACAGGCCTGTAGTTCCCCGCACTTTGTGTCTGTTTCTCAGCTGGCTGCGTGTTTTTACAGTCTCTCTCAACAGTATTTCTTGGACCTCTCACCATTCCCAGACTAAGTGCCTCGTACCCTAGGAAGAGGGTCTTTGCTCAAGCACAAATTATGCTACCAAATGGTTATAAAATAGTCAGGCTGTAGAAGCTATTACAGAAAGATCTATAGCTGCAGCAGAGGACATAATAGGGTGGTGATACGCAAGAATGAAACCTCCAGGGATAAAAGGCAAGAACTGGTAAAATGGTCAAATGTGTTGCGGCACCCACCAACTTTACAGTATCTTTTCTTATCAGACATTCATTTGAAATACTTTCAACTCACTTGGCAGTTTAATTCTTCTACGCGCCTCATTGCAAATCTACTGAATGCCAGTAGCATTATTCAACATTGCTGCATCTAATTTATTGAGCTTCCATGCAATGGGATATTTAGCAAAATAATAATGCATTCAGCGTAATTAGAATATGACTAAATTAATTTCTGTAATGCTGATTATACTGGATTACTGCAAAAATAACTCACACCTCTATGCTGTAGACCCAGTATCACCCATAAGCCAGCTTGCAGTATAAATGGTACATGGCACACAGAATGCCAAGAACAAGCACCAGGATATGCAAAATCTTAAGTGACAGCATGCCTGTTGACTTTAACAGTAGCAATTTGCCATGTTTAATAACGGACTATTAAGTAATTACATACTGTTATGCTTGCACTGAATTTTATCATTAAATTCATGATAATAATTGTCTGCCTAGCTAGTCATTTTGTCCTAGAAGGCAACCAGCTCGGTCAAGCATGATTTGCCCTCATGACTCTGCTGGTTGTTCTTCATCTTGCCCTTTGTGTACTGTAGATGGATTCCAAAAGCACATGCAGCACATGCTTCATGACTGTTTTTGAAGACTGAGATAAATTTGATCCATCAATAGTTCCCTGGATCCTCCACTTCAGTTTTTAAAAAATGGGCACAACCAACCTCAATCCAGTTGCCGGGGACCTCCCTGATCACAATGCTTTTCTATAGCTGATAGGCAATGCTATTATATTGGACAGCATTTCTTCTAAGTCCTGTGCACTGCTGACACTCTGAAGTCCTTCTAACCTGTTGCTCCCCCACTGTTGGCAGCTGCTCTCCTTCTGAAAGGATGCTGGTACACGCAGAAAATGGAAGTAGGCTTATGCCTGCAAAGACTGAAGCAAGAAAAGCCATCGAGTACCTCTGCCCTTTCTGTATGCACCAGCAGGATGTTATCCTCAGCCATCAGCATGAAGGGAGCTGCAGGGATTTCTGTACAGATGATGCTGTTTATTCTAGCACCATGAATAAACCATCTCAATTAAGCACTGATGTAAGCACTGCTGAAATAGCTTACGTTTATTTTGATTTTGCTGAAACGGAATTTTTCCGAGAGAACTGGGCAGCCATCCCTTACACTTTCATCAACCCTAGGCAATGGGCAAATATAAAGATTAATCTCACATGTGAACAACCACCAGCTGCACAACCCTGTGTGATCAAACCTTATGTTCAACAGAAAATGTAACCCGACACACTCTTGAGAACACATTTACCTGGGCTTTAAACTTCGCTGCACATGAGAGGAAGGGACATGCTGCATTACAGCGGGCTGATAGCTTTTCAGTTCCAGCCATGCCAAATAGATGCAAAGATTTCCAAAGCAGTAGGGAACATCACTGGCTGTAAGAATGTCATAACCACTTCTTTAGTCAGTTGAGTTTATAAAATCCTTTCGAGACACGTGGATCTGAATAACCCTCAAAGAGAGTTTGGGGTGCTAACAGATGAGACGAGTTGCTAAATTCGCATCTTACTCCGAGACCAGCATCGGGCAACTCAAGAGACAGTAAGTGCTAGATCTTCAGCTATATAGCAGTAAGGCAACTAGCACTACAGGCTAACACAGGACTGAAGGAATCCTCTGGACCTAAAGTAAGTAGGTAAGTTTATTTCCATAGTCTTTACAAACATAGCAACTGAGTGAAGATTCTGAAAACACATTATTTTATTGTACCTTATTCTTATTTATTCTGTGGGTGATTTCAGGTTTGGCCAATCACCAAGGTGGTGTGATCCTTCAGGGGGATGACCCTTAGCAGAGGCACACTCTGAACGCTCACGGAGCGAGCACAACAGCCCTTTTAACACACTGGACAGTCAGGGCAATAGTATGCACCTCCACTTAGCCACATGGGCTGTTTTGTGAACTAGCTGTATGCACATGGGTGGAGAAAAGGTATTTCCCAGAGACTGCCACGGGAAAAGCTCTATGATGTGCAACAGAGCACCAGAGAGCTCACTCAATCATTTTTTGGGAATTATGTAACAGCCAGGGTAGAAAGATCCTAAGGTCTTCATTTTTCTTTCCTCAATTTATCACTGCTTCACAAAAAGAAAAGCACAGGCGCTACGGACATTTAACAACAGCATATTATTCTCCTCTTAACACATACTGCAAACCTATTGGAAAAGCAAAGCAGACTCCTTGCACTGACATCAAGCAAGACACTGATTCGATTCCTCACCTCTAAAACAGTAAATTGTTTTTTTAAAAAGATAATTTTTCATCAAACAAGTAATTCTTGAGAAGCACAAGTTTTACAATTGGTGAGGTGCTGAAAAGACTGATATGCTAACATACCATGCTCAGGCAACATCTGCTGATGTCAACAGTCAAAAGGAGAAACTACTTATATATTGGTGATCTTTAAACAGTGCTAAACTGCCTCAGCACAGCTTATCAACAGAGTTCAAATATGCCAACAAATACTTTGGCTTTTCTACTTGTCAGAATGCAAGTATCTTCCAGCTTCCTTACTCGGGGACAATGACACTTGCATTATGACAATTTGCAGACTTGAGACCTTTCCTAACATTTGTTTTGAAGAAGCAAGAGTTAAATTTGGAATGTATGAAGTGTTCCAAGTGCTTTGAGCCAGTTGTCTATGCTGGCTGCTGAACAATGTGTAAACATTTGCATCCATTTACTCTCACTTCACATTTGCATGTTTTTCCTCTATTTTTACCTCTATTTTTACTTGAAAGAAAAAGGAAAGTAAAGATTGCAGTGAAGGCTTATTACGGCTCAGAGAGCAGCAGCCTTCACTGTTCAGAGTTTGAATCCAGCCAGCAACAACTTCAGGGAACACAGTCCAACTAACCAGTTTGGTGTCAAAACAACCACAAGTTCCGAATCAGTTTGGAAAGCACAACACAGTCAAAACAGAAGTACCAAGACCTAACTTGACAGGACCGCTGTGTACAGGAGTTGCTAAGAGGAGCAGCTATGTGCAGAAGCCAAAAGAGCAGGGAAAATCACGGTGAAAACGGAGCACAGGAACACTGGCAGGCACAGGGGAGTAACAGACTTGAGTAAAAACTGGGAGAAGCGCTGTGACACAAAGCAACACGGAGAACTGTAACAGCAAGCTGCTAGTCAGAGGCAGCCTAAAATGTGCTTGGCATTGTGCAAGAATGTCAAACTCTTCAGTAGTTGTCCTGCTTGGAAGAAAGCCTAGGGCTAACGAGGACTATATCCTGTAATCCAGCTAATGATTCTTCGCACACCCTCTTGCATATAGCCATTACAATGCCAATAGGCTTAAGCCTATTCTCATGGGTAGTTTGTTCTCATGGGTAATGGGAAGCCCAACCTATCAAATTCAATTGCAACAAGTCCTACCACTTGTAATCAACAACTTTTGACTAATATGACAAGATATCAATGTCCTTGGTGTCTTGGCTGAAGGAATAATACCAGAAGTAGTGGGTGAAATATCCACTTGCATCCACTAGCAAGTGGAAATTTTTTTTTTTTCCTGAAGAAGTTATTAATAGCAAAAAAGTTGCTCACCATTTTGATGTGGGGGAAAAAAAAGGACAAAAAAAAGGCTAAGAATAAGAAGCAATCAAAGGTATTAGTTAAGACTGGAACCATCCTTGAGAATAGTCAAATGCTCCTGAAATAGCAATGATGACTAGGAATGTCGAGGAAAAGACAAAAGAATAAAGGAGGTGGGATATCACTCACATCTAAAGACTATTTTCTTAAGGAAATGATTGAAGTGTTCCAGGTAGACTTAAAACACATCTGTGTATGATATAAGAAACTGCCTTAACACATTTAATGAGATCATCTAGACTGCAAATATTATGTCAACAGTGTTATACACACTGTTCGCAAAAATTAGCTTGCTGGTTCTGCTTTCAGAAGAACGGCCTGTTTAGCAAAAAGTATCTTTTTTTCTCCTGATTAATTACATCAAGTAGTCCAGAAAAAAAACCAAAACCAAAACACCCACTCCTCCACAAATCTCACGAGTTTTGTAGACAGATGTACAGGGAGATTTAAACATCTGTGCCCAAAAAAGGTTCTTGTATGGCAGTGGAAAAAACCCGCATGTGCACACTCAGGAAAACAAAGTATCTCCTTCACAAGAAGGAACCATTTCACAACTGCTCTGTGGCTGAGAGGCAGTGAAGCCTGAAGACTAGAGCACAGTGATTATTTCTCACATTCAAGAAACAGGAGGCGCACACAACGTTAGAAGATAGCAGGTCTGGAGTAGACAAACAGAAATACATTATTTCCCTTAGTATTTAATTAAATTGTAGGTCCAATTAGTACAGGATGTTGTGAAGGATAAATGGGTTCTAGAAGAGATTAGCTGAACTCAGAGAACAAACAGGTCTGTCACAGAGCATTAAACAACTGCTCGAATACAGCTTGGTCATGAAGTATCTTAAGTAGCTGCCTGCTGAAAGCTGGTGCGATGTGCTTGAGAAAGCATCACTTCATACATGATCTGTTTGCTAGACCCTTTCCATCTATTCCTTGCTCCTGTTCGAGACAGGACACTAGCCTTGACAGACTGATCTGATCCAAGAGGAAAGTTCTTAATCCACTGCTCTTTCTTCTACTGAGGCAAATCCGCACCTACTGACTTACTCATCTTCTAATATTCTAATATCTTGGTTCAAAAAATTATTCTTTAAGATCCTCTAAATTAGTTACAGCAACACTTAGAAGCTCAGAGGTTTATCATCTATTATATTGACATTTGTGCGATTTGAGACTGCTTCAGATCCACTCAAGAAATTGGGAGTAATGGGTTCTTGACAACCATATCACCAGAAGCTAGTCATTCTATGGTACAAAGGATTTTCTTAAATCTCAGTAGTAAACTCACAAAAAACCCTTCAGGTATACAACATTCACATGGACTCTGCATTCTCAGTCCTAACTCACTAGAATGCCACAGTATGTAAACTTCCGTAACGTTTCTCTGTTCTCTTCAAGCTTTAACATGAGTCAAAATTACAGATAAAGAATAGCCAGAACACAGAGAAGCTGTAAAAGCTGACTTCCTAACACCTGTGCACTGCTTTGATAACCCTGACAACTCTTCTTGCAAATTTGAGCAGCCAAAAGGATGCTGATCCCACGATACATATGGAATTGTCACTTGTTTCAGGCAGTATTCCATACTCTACAGTGCATGCATGGGTTTGCAGATGATTTGTTACAGGATACATGACTAAAAAGAGTTCCATAATACGATGGCATTAAAAAAACAACCCCACACATATAGAACAGCAACACAGCACTGTTGTTTCAGTCTTAGGCCAAATGAAATTAATCCATCTTTCAAGTCGTCTTATCAAAATTTCATACATTTGTATTAGTTACCCTGTTAGTCTATGTCTGCAGCTGAACCATGTGTAATACAGCAAAGGCCTTGTTCAGGAGATTCTCTGGCTGTGAGGCAGTACTCTCAAACACCAAAATTTAAATTTTAAGATAATCCCATTTGTGAGTTCCCAAACTCTGCCCAAACCTTATTATTTGAAACCTATCAATTCACAAAAATAACATTTGATTCAATTAAAATTTTTCCATAACTCAAAGCTTTTATTCCAATAATCTTTATCCCCTTAAGAAAATATTCCTAATTTGCATAAGAAATTGAGCCTCCAAAATTAGAGCAACAAACCTGGTTATAAAAAAATGGGTGGGTTTTTTTGGTATAGTTTTATTTTTTTAAAGTTCCACCATTTGTAGTGCAGCTAGAAATATTTGCTTTCAGAAACAGTTGTGTGGGGAAAAATAGCAAACACAGCTTGCCAAAGTGAAAAGAAAATTTTTATATTAATTTGATTTAAATTAATGTTAATAAATTGTTAATAATGCAGACTTTTTTGGTTTTGCATCAACAGTAATTGTTCATTATAGGTTTTGGTCTCCTGAACAGAATACAGGTGTTGGTCTCCTGTACAGAAATTACATTCCCGCTTTTATTTTTTGGCAAGTCATTTCTTCATTCTGATTTATGTTTTTGGTCACGAAAACATGATGTAAATAGCTACACTACCTATAGCTGTCCAACTCTTTGTTCACACAGCACAAATTAATACAACATGAATATTTAAGCTGCACGTATTAATTTTTGCTCTGACTGCAGGTGAATAAAAATACTCAGTTATGTATGTTCTAAAACACTTTGCCATAAGCAGAATTCCAATATAATTCCTGGAATCCAGTATTTTTGGTAATAAATTGTACTGTTATTCTGAGGGGAATCTTATGCAGACAAAACCCTTAAGTATTTTACAGCAAAGCACTTTTCATGTATGTTAACACACACAGACTCTGATTGAAGAGAGTCCGCAAATGAATCCAAGTTTCCTCGAGCTGTGCTGACAATCTGGACACTTCTTCCAACAGGTTTGGCTCTGATGAGAGAATCTTAAGATGTAACTGAAAATGAGAACAAGCAGTTAGCGAAACAAATACAGATAACAGAAAAATTGAAAGATCAGTTTCCTAATTAAATTACAATACTTTGCTTTCAGGAACATCCCAGGTAAGGGAAGGACTTTTGTCCTTCAATTAATTCCTTCCATTTAATGCTGCCTCCCTTTTGCTAGTCTTTTACAAGCCATTTTACTCCCACATTATTATATTATTATATTAGATGGGATATGGCGGCAAAAATGTCTTAAATATGTTACTGCTTTACTAGATCTTCATCTGCCACTGCTCCTGAATCTATCCTCATCACACACTTCTTTAGAGGATAACTTTCTTCTATTTCCAACCTGCATCACAAATTCCTCTTTAGGCTAGAAAGGCTAAATAGATGCCCTGAGGTCAATCAGGATTATTATTTTAATTATCCGTGATGCCAGCACACTCTATACAAATACAGGGAGATGATGTCTCTCTATGTAATAAACAGTAACCTCAGTAAAGCATACAGAAAAGAAACCTGATCCTGTAGAGACGGAATATATTATTACCACTTAATATAAGGAACAGTTATTTTCCTTGCTACAGCGTAAGTCTAGGAGTCTTGCCAAGCTCAGAGCTGTTTTACTTGGAACCTACAACAGAAGATATTGCTGTTCACATGTCACAGGGTAAGTTTCTTTTATTCTACTGTACTTCAGATCAGGAGTACATTTCTGAGGCAAATTACCTAGCTGTCCCTAATCTACCCTGCAAGAACTAAATTTCTTTTGTATGAAACTAAACAGGATGAATTCCAAGATGCAATATTGCAACTATTAATCATATCCAGCCCATAGGACCAGACTAATAATAAATAGACATGATAAAAAGCCAAACAGACACGATAAAAAGCCACTGGTGAATTAATATCGAGACCTTAACCCTAAGTGTTTCACTCTACAGATCTACTCCTACTGGTCTGCACTACTTGTTCTTGTGGGAGCTGCCCCATGCATTCTATTTAACCGCAACAAAAGGGAGACAGCACGCCATATTTGTCCAACATTACACTCTAGCTTTAAAACCAATCCCTGCAATATTGCTGTTAAGAAATACTCAATTAAATAGACAGTATTACATATACCTGAATGTTTGTAACAACTTTTTCCTAGTAAACTGTCATTAATTGCTCTTCCACAGTTTCATAAATCAGAGTATCTTAACAAGGTATTTATACATCAGAAGGGTTTCAATCTTCTGCAGAACCACCTTCTTTTTAAGAGTCACTGCTACTGTATTTTGTCACAGTAACTTCCTAACTTCCATACACCTGGGAATAATTTCATTAGCTCTGTGACACTTAACAGGTAACAGAAGAAACACAACCCACTAAAACGGAAAGTAGAAGTCAGGCTTGCAATGCCTAGTGGTAAGTCCAACAAAATGCCTATTTTACTTCCCCAGACATTGTGCATTGAATTCTTTTCTTCCTTAAGACAGCGTATCTCAGCTTAGCAATTAACAACCATTAAGAAGTTAGGTATGTTACAAAAAATGAAAACAATTCTAAGTAACAAATACTAGAATAAAACCTGTCTGGCATGGTCCTCTTCACAATATCTGTTTTTCTCAAACTTTTCTTGACTGCAACTAGATGAGTTGTCAAATTATCCCATACATTCAGTTAGTCATTTTAATATCACCCCCAACAAAAATCACTTAAGATAATTTTTTCAAGCAGACAATTTACACCCTTTTACTGGACAACCATCATTTTAAACAGGACTAACAAAAAATTATATAAGAAAATTGTTACCTTTAAAAATAGTGCAAGGTATGCCTGAGCAAGTTCAAAGTTGTACTTCTTGTTCAGCATCATCCCAATCATTCTCAAAAAGCTTAGCATCACCTCGGCTGAGCCACCACCTTCAGGAGCCAAACCCCTTAGTTCTATCTCAATATTAGATGGTCCCAAGCTTTTCAGTAAGTTAAGTGGAGCTGTATCTGTGTTAAAGCATTGAGGGATACATTATCAGTAACATTTGCAGAAAGATCCTTCACGTGGACAGTTTAGTCCAAAATTCTTAAGCAGTGATTGAATGTTTCAAGCTTCTACTGTTTCCTTACTTTTTTGTTTTCTACAAAATGCCATCCTGCCTTTAATTTACTGTCCCATCACATACTACAGAGAAGTACATCTCTAATAAGACAGCTGCATTTTATTTGTAAGTTCACCTTGAAAAATACAAGTAACATCTTTGTATCACTTTTTTTCCCACTTCAGTTTTTAAGCTGAACAAAATTTCTCATTAACCATGTAACACTGTCATTTTACATGGCTTGGCAAAAAGAACATATATACTTGGGACTTCAAGCTGTTACTGCAAATATATCCTAGAAGAGACAGGGCACTACTTTTTCTAGGAATCTTTACAGTGTTCATTTTTACTGACATTAAGCTAAACCTAGGATGATCTGATGCATCTAAGGTAATTACTACTTTTGTTAAGTGAATTCCTCCTGCTTTTCCTGGGACCTGGGGGGCAATGGAAATCTTTTCCCTGATAGAAATACAGGCAATTTACAAGCTCTTTCCTACTCTTTACAAATGTTCTTCCTCAGGCTTTCTAGAATCCTACCTGATCTTTGAGAATTCCATCCATTTGCTTTAAAAATGCAGAAATAAAAACATGTATGGTTGCAAATACAGCTGGTGGTACAATTTTTTTAAAATGTCTTCTGATTAATATTTCTTTTGCTGCAAGTTGCTAAGAAGAGCAATTTCTTATACTCCTGCATCATGGTAACTAATGGTATCAGGCACTGGCTAACATTCCCGAGGTGGTATAAATCTGTTTCCACCTGTATTTGATTCTTATGAAAACCATTAGCTAGTTCTAAACGTAATTAACAGTACTAAACAGATGCATTAACTCTTTTTTGTGCTGTGACATTAAAAAACGAAGCATGGAACACACTACGAAGTTGGTACACCTACAATATGGAAAAGGTGCCCAGCCCAGTCTATGTTCCATACTCCTGATCTGAGGTCTGAAACCCTGTCTCCATCCCAAAGGTAAGCCAGGATGACTTGTAATATAAAACTATTTATTTGCACAGCCTTATCACCTTCAGAAGTCATGCTTGTAAACTAGCAATGACAGAGCCATGTTACACAACACCAGCTTCCTGAGTCTGGATCAACAGGCTACCTGGATTGGGATTGCAGCACAGACCCTGGAGCACACCTGCCTTGCAGCAGAGAGGTGGCCTGAGGGAGGCCCACAGGACCACTACTGCAACGCGTCATGGAGTGCACTTGCTCCCAGGTAGAGACAGCCTCTAGGTGTTTGGTTTGGCTTTTATATATTCACCTGATGTTTCACTCTTCTCTGAGTGGCTAGAAAGCAGCTTAATAGAATACTATCAATTGAAATACTAAAACCACAGCATAAAACCATACCTTGTTTATAATAGATAATGAAGTTCCGCAAACAAAATGTTTCAAGTGCAGTTGAGTAAGCTGGTCATCTCCGAAGTGTTTAAGGGCAGAAAAATTCCCAGCAGAACTACCTTGTGGACAAGCTACTAGCAACTGTCCATTTACATTTCCAAGCAAGCTGTATTAGCAACCACTTCCAAAAATCTAAATTTCAATGACTGTGCAGCAGCACAAGTTGAACAGGGACAACAGCAGGTGCATTCCACAGGCAATTTAAGTGACTGAATTTCAAAATTAACTGAATGTCATAAGAAATCCAACAGCTTATTTTTATATAAATTCTTAAGCTTTAAATTATAGAGCAATCAATTAAAACTCTAAGTTTGGTGAATCTTTTGTGAAGTAGCCCTTGAAAATAGAACTTGCTAGGCAAATTATGTTTGTCATGTTTCAGTGAATCACCTGACTATTCCTTACCTTCCTTTCTTACCCTACAAATAACACATAGCACCTTTTCTGGGTGAGATCATCACAATCTCAAAAAAAGTCTAACAATCTTAGGAACATTATCTCCATCAGGGTTTTAGCAGAATTGGGCCCCATGCTGCAGGCAAGCTGGAGTACCAATGCATCTTTGATCTAGGCTGGTTATCTATGTATTAGTCGGCTCTACACATAACAGGTGATTCTCTTTGCCTTTGCTACTGCACGACGCATATTTATTTTCTCATACATGTTACAATTTTGGCATTAGAAATCAAAGGTATACCAAAATATTATTAGTATCTATATTTTTAATGAAATGTCTTCTTAACTTACATTCATTAGTGCTCAGGGCTTCTTCGAGATGAATGTAGAAATCAGATTTCTGTGCCAGTACTCCAAGGTTTACTACTTTTGACTAGACCATGAAAGTATAAGAGAGTATACATGAATATGCAAACATATTTTTGTATCTGTTAGATTCCTCTCCTATTGACAGAATAAAAGACTAAGAAAGAAAGCATGAATGTAAATGCCTTAAAACAGGTACTTTAAAGTCTTTATCAAGATTTCACTCAGCACCAAAAAGTGTTTAAGATCTTCTTTTAAAATACACTAGATAAATACTATTATATTGATTCTTGTTTTTACCTGTGTATCATTTTCTTCCTCTGGAGCAATGTATCGGGGTATAAGACCAGGAACCGTTGGGATGAAGAAAGGGGCTGACTTCGGAACTTTTGGTGGCTCTCTTGGTTTATTTTTTTTCTGTTAATTAGATATTGGAATTAAATCACCATCACAGTAAGAATACATAGGACTATTCTTTATCAAGAGTTTTGAAAACTGTAAGGACTAAGTAAATATACAGGTAAAATGTTTTACCACTAAATATTAAGCTACTAATTAGAAGAAAAACAGCCCCTCTCCCAAATCCTGGAAACTGTGAAAAGTACCATATAATCTACTGCAAAATCTGAAAAATACCTGAAAAGTGGGATCAAATTTTGTGATTAGGTAAATGCAGCTCGTAGAACAAGGGCAAATATAGCTGGCTGTATATTACTATTTTTTGTGCATTCCCTCTTTTTCTGGTTATGGAAATGCCCAACAGTGATTTGGAGGCATAACCAAATACTACAGTAGATAAGCAATGGTGTGCCTAATATCATTACCTTAATAACATCAAGACTGAGGAGATTTTTCCACCTTGATTCCGGTAATGAGGAAAGGGTAACCAGCTGCTCTCCCAATTGCTCAGGTGAGACATACTCTATCATCTCATCACATGTTTCTTCATCTCCTGCCACATCCACATCTTTCAAGAACAGATATCTTTTGTAAACATACATACTTACTTTTTTATAAATCAAACCAACATGATTCTTTTGCAATTTTTGAAAAAAACAAGCTTAACAGCTATATATATGGGTGCTAGCATAACATATAGCTGAAAAGCTACAGAAACAATCTTTATTAACCCTATGAAATAGTAAGTTTAAATTTTGAAAAATTATAGCTAAAATGCAGAATTGGATAAAAAAGATTTTAAAGACTAACAAGATTTATCCACTTTGGCTGAAATGATATAAAAGCAACTTATAGAAGTCCTGAAGGAAGAACAATGGATTACTTTTAGAATTTTGTTAACTGTTTTAAAATACATCCACGGCAATTTTAGTTCTGAGTTACAAATATGTAAAATCTTTGCATTTAAATACACACAACATTCACAACCTGTCCATAGGTATGACTGAAACAGCACATAAAAATGAAGAAAATCTCAACACTGAAGCACAACATCACACAACAAAAGCTATGCAGTCTGTCATTAGGGTTTCTCTGAACTTCCTATGTAGTCTTGACCAAACACCTCTACTTTCCCTTACTTTTTGCAAAACGTTTCATGGCTGAAATCATGAATGTGACAGAAAAGCCTAAAACAACAAAGAAATGTAAACCATTAAAAGCTCTGAGCATCTAAACAGGAACTTTACATTTGCTGAAGACAGAAAGTGAATTAAAGCATCCAGCCAGAATCAGCTTATAGGACTAAAACATCTCAAGTTTTGGGATGAAATTCTGTGTCCCTAATTTAAGTATCTAAAATAATTACGTGCTTAAAATAATTATGTGCTTAATAAAGCAGTCATCATCAAGTATGTTCCTTGCTCTTTTATGCTGTCAATAGCTAGGTGTGTTTCTCCTCCAGATGGAGATCTAAAGGTAGGCACTGCTAAACTTGGGCAGACAAGGTCTCCATCTAGAGGCCTTCAGAAGCACAACCATTTCTATTAAATGTATCAAAAATGCGATTTAGGCCTTTCTTTCACTGAGATTCTAGCACAGGTACATGGCAGGTGAGCTGAACAAATTCTCTTGCCAACAAGACAATATACAGCAGTGAAACTACCACGGTGTGCAGGCAACCAAAAACGTTGGAGGGAAGGGGAACAAAGAACAATCCCCTTCCCACTGCCAAACAGTAATATTAATTTCAAATTGGTCTCATAGATATCAAAACAGAAGGCATTTACACATCCGGGATTAAAGAGCGCCAGCAAATAGCACAGATGTTTTTATTACCTACAAAATCTCCTTGAAGATGCGCAGATTATCACAATGTAATTCTTTATGTCTGAACACAGAAACATGCAGATTTTTGTAAATAATACTAGTGTATGAGTAAGTATGCCAAAAATGGTAGAAGCAATAGGAACAGTTCAGAGAAAGAATGCTAAGACACCATGAGTTTTCACTGAGGAAGCAAACCACCTTCTATTTGAAATATAATACCAAACTGAAAATAAAATACTCTTTCATATGAAGATTACCTTGCACAGGGCAGGTGCTAGGGAGTGTCACCATAGAAGGTTCATAATCTGCCGGAAGGGGCCGTAAAGAGACAAGTGAATACAGAGAACGGTTGGACCTGAAAAATAAGACAGGCATTTTAAAAACAATTTGCAGGTGAATGGGAACAACTATTTCAGACATAATTTTTACTCCAGTCTAATACTACTGCACTACAGCAATTCACTAGGTTCTATTCAAGATTAGTTTTCCTCATCTACAAGATAAACAAGAAATAAAATATAGCAATATACATAATCTGAAAGTCTAAAACATAAAAGCTATGCTGAAGTATTACCACCAAGAATGTTTAATACATACAGCATTATGAAGTATGATTACTTCAATCATTGCCAGTTACTGTATTTACCTGCAATTGCAAAACTGCCCAAAAAGCTTGATTTATACTTAAAATGTACAATACATTATGCAAATGTAAATGATTCATCCTGTTTTCACAGAATTTCATAGTAGTACTCTTAGCAAATTTTCTTGAAGTTCAGAACATGCACACAAGTCATTCTGTCAAATGATTTTTTCTGTCAATATAAACCAGGGCTAGGTAAAAACATCCATCACTATTCACAATGAAACACTTCTACTTAAGCATAGAAAAGCCTAACAATTGAATGCCCCTCAGGCAAAACTACAAGCAACAAACACAACCTGAAAGATATATCTATCTATCAAAAGCAAAAAAAACCCAAACCACTTAAAAGGTGTGTTACTTCAGCACTGGACCTAACCAGTCATTGTCTTTAAAGCCGTATCAGGAAGAAACTGAACTAAAACACAGTTTACATCTCTGCTGATCTACCATTAATAAACAGAAATAATCACAACTTCCAAATTCTCAGGAGTCTCATCAACACTGTATACCAGGACAAGAAGAAAAGCCCTTCAGAAAGTAACACTATACAAGCACTGAAATTGCAAAAGCAGTAAAAAAACCCAGTAGAGTCAAAGAAAAACTTTAGGAATGGCAAAACAGGAATTCTTTAGAGTAAGAAAGAAACATTTAGGAAAAAAGAGATAATTTCATTATCTGAATAAATACCTTAACTGCAAGAGATTTCAAGATTTATGTATCACAACAATACAGAATACCTGTCTTAACTACAACCAGAGAAGACAAAACCCTGGAGATGATCCTTTGCAGAACAATTCTCTACTTGCAATAAAGATGATTAAAAGAATTCTCCATCTTAAATTCTCTGTAGAAATAAGATACATTACATACTCACCACAAATAAATTCCAAGATCATCCACATGTGTTGAAGCTAGAAAATCTCCTGTAGGAGACATAGTTAGGCTCACAGCTGCAGAGTCTACCAAAAAACAGTCTATGAGGCTAAGGAGAGAAAACACAAAAGAGAAATTCTCAGATGAAGTTGTTTATCTATGCACATCTGAGTGACAGCACAAATACGACTGAATGCAAGTAGGATGCTGGAAGTATGTATACAAACTAGTGTATTAGAAGTATTCAAATATGACATAGAAACTTAGCAAATGAATGGCAGCGTGCAGCAAAACACTCACCTCTATAAAATTCTCTAAAAATCAGCTAAAGCTAGTACATTTACGCTATCTTCTTAGACATCCACATTCTGTGGAAAATACAACGAACCATTGGTCCACATTCAACTCCTTATGCCTAATACTAACCTTCTTAGTGGCCATAAATTTTGTGCTTTCCATCAGCCCTGTACTGCTCTGACGTAATCTTTTAATGCTCAGTGGTTCTAAATTCCCTTTCTCAAGACACTTCCTATACAACTGTATAACATTAGGACCTAATGTTCCTAAATGAGCATTTACATGAACATGTACAGTTCATTCCTAAGAATGAAATGCAATATTTGATTATCTGCAACAGTTTGTTTTGACAGTATCATATCTTCAGCCTGACATACCATTCCTGGATCATTCCTTTCACTATTGCAGAAAACTGAAAGAAACACCACATAAAAAGAAAGTTAAAATATTCAGTAGTATGTGACTATTTTAACAATAAGCCATTTCTGAGTTGTGGATGATGCCACAAGTCCTGGATGATGAACACCCTAGTAGACTTCCACTTAAGCCCGGGTTCATAGCACTGCTTATCACTTGCTGAGGTATAAATTTCAGTTACTGCAAATTGTAAGAAGCAGTTGAGTTTGACAACTAGTTCATTGAGAGAAACAAAAAGAACAAATGGAGAGCTTGGAATACTTTCATCTTATTTACAGACCAAAATCAAAAGCAAAGTGAGGAGTGATGAGAGCAGCTAATTCTACAGCCCTGTTCTGTTCACTAACCACAGAAAAGATGTTGATGTAAACAAAGCAGTTTAAAATGTAAAATCTTGTGGACATTTATTTTCTTAGGTACTCCTGTGACGGTTTGACAAACGATGTTAAAAATAAAAGCCAATTTTATCCTGAATGGAATGTTTTATTTCTTCTGTATGCTGTGAAGACACACACTACAAGTAAAAAGTAATCAGGCATTCATCACATCTAACATCATTCATCACTTCTAACATAAAATATACAAACACTAAACCCATAAATGCCAGAACATGTATCAGCCACACTGTGCACAGTGGCTAGAAAATTTACCATAAATACTGGTTTTAGTTTCAAATTGATCCCTTTACCACAATCTTTATCAGTAGCTGAGAAATATTGTTCAATAAAACAACCATAAGAAACAAATACAAAATAAAGTTAACATTAGATTTTTCTACTTACTGAATTTAAATCATGATTAAAATTACAGACTTGGCAGGGGGAAATCAATCCACTAAAGGACACTGAGATATGCTTGTAATTTTTACACAAAATATACAGTAATTGCTAACTGAATCCTGCCTGGGGGCTGAAAGCATTCACATTTACACGTCCTGCCTAACTACAAAAGTGAGACAGTGGAAAGTGTAAAATTGCTGAGCTCACAATATCAAAACATTTCTTACACCATTCTGTCTCAAGGACTCCATCCAAACTACAAGCACTCAGCTTGTACCCTTGATTCCTTAATTTGTCCACGCAAGCTGCACTACAGAAAGAAAAATTTGCATAATGCCAGGGTTCCTGCTTGTAACTTTCTCTACACAAATGGGTAATTTTTTCCCAATTCTCAAAAAGCCCTAAATAAAAAAACATACAGTAGGTATACCTACATCATGTAAGAACAGTTAAGCAGCATCCCCAAGTAAAAACAGATGTTCCCCAAGTAAATGGTATGACATCTATTAAAATCAATTGGTATTTTTCGTTAAGTTTTGTAAAGTGACCAAGAGACGCTTTTTAACAGGGCCTGTAGTGACAGGACAAGGGGCAATAGTTTTGAACTGAAAGGGGGTAGGTTTAGATTCAATATAAGGAAGACATTTTTCACAATGAGGATGGTGAGACACTGGAACAGGTTGCCAGAAGAAGTTGTGGACAGCCCAACACTGGAAGTGCTCAAGGTCAGGCTGGACAGGGCTCTGAGCAACCCGGTCTATTGAAAGATGTCCCTGTCCATGGCAAGGGGTTGGACTGGATATTTGAAGGTCATTTCTAACTCAAACCATTCTGTGGTGCTATGAATACTTCAGCATATCACAAGGTGATTCACCTTAAGCAGACTCTTGCCATTTAGATTATAGCACTGCTTCCAGACAAGAACAAATTCACATTCATTCATATTCATTCATACTACATGAAAATTCCAGGTTTCATCATCAGAGCTTCAGGACACTTATTCCGTATACGCAGAAAAAGGCACATATTGCTAGCATCACACACAACGAAAATACTGGGTACCGAGTTGTTACACCACATGCAACGTTGAATATCCCATAGTACAGGTTGGTGACAGATAATCAAGCTGGAAAGCTTTTTGCCATTTAAAAGACAGAAAAGGGTATTACAATAAATTTCTGCTGTATTTTTTTAAACTAGCTTTTTGCCATTTAAAAGACAGAAAAGGGTATTTTTTTAAACTGACTCACCATCCAGAGGGAAGGTCCCAAGTCTTAATGGTACAGTCCATTGATGAAGTTATTAGCCAACGACCATCAGGACTGAAAGTCTAAAATAGAATTGTCAATTTAATGGCACAACTGACAAACCAGTCCCTACATGATGTCCTGTTTCACACAGTTCAAGATTCAATTGCTCCCTAACACCAGGATGAAATGGTCTGGCCATAAAACAAAACTGACACCACCTTATTGAAAGCAAGAAAAGGGCAAAAATGGAAGCTACTCCAGAACACGTTTAAATATATGACATAGGATACATCTGGCTGTTAGTAAAAGCACTGTAGTCCTTCATTAATGATGAAAAACACTGGGCATAAAATTGAAGAAATCAAATAATACTTACGAGCACTTAGAATTAAATCAGAAGCTAAAAACTTTTTCATTGAACACTACAAAGCACTGTTACACAAGACGTAAAATAAGGAATTATCAGTGCATTGCATAATCTCAGATCTGTTCACTCCTTTTATTTACCTGGTTCATCTTTTCTATGCATATGGTTAAGACTGCTGCATAATTTTGCTCCTCAGTGTGGTTTTCATTATTGCTAATGCTTTATTTTGTTAAGCCCAAAATTAGCTTGTTGCAAAGTAACAGTAAAATCCCAAAGCACACTAAAAATACACGGCCATTCAAACACTATACATTTTGACTTGAAAACTGACATAGCCAAAATTGCTGTAGAGCTGAACTACAACTTTACTATTCACAGCCAAATATAATATTCAGTGACTTAGTATACACAGAGGAATCCATCACCATTAAAATGAATTAGATATTTGTATATGCCACCTGTTAAAGAAAATGAGTTAACAATTACCATGTCATTAATCCGTCCATGGTGTCCTGAGAACGTCCTGACAATCTTCCTGGTTTCTATATCCAAAACACTAATACTGAAGTCATCAAAGGCAATTCCCAGAATACCACTGCCAAGAATCATTAGCACATATGACAGTGAATACTCAGAGACAAAAAAAAAAAAATCCCAACATTGCTCCAAAAATATTTTATCCTGAGGTAATCTCAGATAAACAGTATTACATTCCCTCAGTTTAATAAAAGGTCTTATAGTCCTTTTGTCAGCTAGTAGTCAGTTGTATTTCAAAGCATCAGCAATTTAAACTTTATTACAATATTTGGTTGCCATCCTGGACTTAACGTACTTACAGCAAAATAATAAGCACATGAAATAGCTTCAGTTTCGTACCTGTCTCTGTGAAGCAGAATTCCACTTGGAGAAGAAAGCTCAGTGGAGTAAACTAGATCTTTAGTTTTGAATTTCCAAAATTTAATTAATCCTTCGCTACCAGCTGTGATTACCAGCTGGTTTAATCCATCCACTGCTACCCCCCTAATGGCTCCTTCATGTGCTGCAAATCAAGGGAGAAGAAAGTTCTATTTCAGAATTTAAACATAGCATAGAAGTCAGCAGAATGCCAAACACTATTCTGTACGTCTTTGCCTAACTACACTAAATGAGCAGTAAACATGTGACAAACAGTTCTAAAGCCACTTGACAAGACTGGTCAAATATTAGAAGTTTCTTTACCAGTACAGAAAGCAAACTGCTTTCAAATAAGCACTTAGAACATGCTACAAAAGTTGTAAGTAATTGAAGATTAATATTAGCTTTTATTCTGCTTTCAGTTTGGGGTTGGTTTTTTTTGAATGTGAGATCTGAGGGACTTTGAATTACTTACAAAATGCCTCTGGGGGCCTCACCACTGCAGACAAAAGTTACAGCTTCAGTTTTGGCACAAAGTCAGGGAGTTTTCCTAGGCTACTTTACACTGCATGGTAGAGGTAAGGCATAGCTCCTCTGGTTTTGGATCAATTTTATTTCTTAATCTATGCCTAGGGCTACTGGCCAGTAACCAACCTTACAAAATTCATCTCACTAACAACCTATGATGTTACTAAGAGACCACTCCATGTTTGCTATGCTAGATGACTTTTAGAAACCCAGTAAGGCTTAAGGGTTCATCAGGACTCTTTCCTTGTTTCTACAACAAAAAAAAAATTGAGATCATGAGGGCCCTATTACAAATTGCAGACTTAAAAAGCAACAGCAAACACACATGAGGATATATGACATGAAATACATATGTATGCAATCATTGAAAGGGAAAGCCTGAACACTGTCACTTACATTAAGTCCCAAGTTTGCAGCTGGATAATTAAAAATAATAGCATATGCAAAGAACTGGACTCGCTCAGGATTTCAATTTCCCATGTATGTAAAGTATTGTTTCATTTTTAAGCAGGGAGCACAAAACAGGAAAATTTACCTCTGAAACAGAACCCTGTAACAAGAAGCCAAGTACTGGAAATGTGATTATCTCAAAAATGCCTGAGGCCAGAGAATCTCATTTTAGTGCTAACCATTTTGGTAACTGACAATTTTGTGTTAATTTAAACCAAACACATGCTAATATCAGAGCTGTTAAAACTAGCAGGGATCCTGTCCTTCAGAGTAGGTTTCAAATTATTTCTCATTACAGTGCAAGATAGGCTAGTGTAGGGTAATTAGAAAAGCTGAAAAGATTCCCAAATTCAACTAAGAAGCAATGTTAAATTTCCTAGACGACAGAACACCAGGTTGGTGCTGTTCTGTTAAGAGTCAGTATTTTAAGTATAGCAATTCTTACCTCTTTCTTTGCCATAACGCCCTCTGTGAATGCCAGACTGCATATTATACACATCTACCTGTCCAGTTGACAGCCCAATTACAGCAAAGTTCCCACATGAGGTAATGTCAACTGCCTTTCAAGGGAGAAAAAAAAACAAACCAATCACCTATGAAAACAATTCTTTTAGTGTATATCTAATTAGCAAAGTTGTTAGAAAATATATGACATATCAGGAATACAAAACACTACTACGTTTTTAGACCTCAAGGAAAACTACACATCACAAACAACAGATTACATCTCAAAAACGTAAAGATGGGAGCTCTTAAAATAAAAAAAATAGTCAACAAGTAATAAATATGGCAGTGCATGCTTACAAAGGATAATGAAATACTGACTTAGTGACATCCATCTAATAGTAGTATCAACACTGTAACCTAAATTACTAACCTATACAATCAAGACATCCACAAATTCAATCCTAAGATAAAGTTGCAGCATGCTGACCTGCATGCCTCTTTCAATGCCCATATTGCCAGTGGCACCCCAAGTTCACAGAGAGTTTAAATAGTAAGAAACAGAGAAACAATGTTCTAGATGTCTTTAGAAAGATACAGACTGAAGAATCTAGTAGTTAAAAGAAAATCAGGTATTTACAACTGAACTGATATTGTCTACCACTTAACTACTAAGCATAAAGGTCAGAAAAAACAATTTATTACAAGATACAGTAGTAGTGAACACCTAGTACATGAAGTATGCCACAGCAACTACTTGTCTTGCAAGCTTGTAAGCCTCAGTAAACATTTGTCTCTCTTCCATTGAGTGACTTTCATTGTGTCTAGCTCAAGTGTAAAGCATTTTAGAGGGAATATCCTGCCTGATATTAGTAAATACATTTTTCCGTATTGCCAGAAAAAAGTATCTTCAACGATTTGCATTCACAGAGCAAGCTTATCAACACAGGCATACAGTCAAGTCTACATCACCGTGACAGATTAAAAGGCTAACACCAACCACTGTCTGAATCAGAACATAAAATCTGCACTTAACCTGGATGTTTAAGGGAAAAAGGCATATGCAGTATTTTTCTTAAGACCATATGCATTACAAAACAGCTAGTAGGACACACTGAACTGGCAGAAAGCACTTTGCAAAGTAACTAAAACATGTCTAGATAGTGCTTTTTCATTCTCTACAAAGAGAAATCAAAATAGCATATACTGTAATGCTGAAGAAACATTATCCTAAATAAACTTACTGTTGCATATATATCAATAGGTTTGTGTTTGCTAAATTCTTCTGGCCTCAGTTTGTGGGCTCCCATTGAAGCTTTCTGATAGTTCCAGGTCGTACAGGTTATATACCCTTGATGGCAGGCAACAATACTATCCCAGTCACTCTGATGTGCCACCTCTGCAATGTAACACATACGCCTTTTAGAAACAATCATTCTGAAGTCAAATAAGCTCTTCTGATATCATAAGAAAGAGTATTTTGAAATACCTTTTGGCAGAACAGTTAATATTTAGTCTTCCTGTTGGACAGTCAAAAGGCCGCTATTCAGAAAAAACACCTGGCAAACTGCTGTGCATATGCTAGTGGAACTAAAATGCTAACAAAACCACAAGCATTTTTTTGGTATGTTATGTTTCATGTCTTTGTATATTTGAGTCTATGTGGTTTGAAAAGCATATTTAAACTTAAATGGTTTAAACTGCTTAATCTGTACCCATTTCCAGCTGAGTCTCTTAACTGTTTCTTCAGCTGCTGAAGCAGCAGAAGCCACTAAATTAACAACTTAAAGCAGCGTTTAAGAGCTCCACCTGCTTCACATAGCAAAAGACTCTTCTGCATTTGCAGGACAGTAAGTCCTCAAAAGCTCAGTATCCAAACCTTGTAGTCAAATGAGATATATGGGGATCTAAATAATGAGCAAGTTTGGTTTTTTCCCTGGAACTTACAAATTAAAAAAAAAAAAAAAAAAAAAAAAAAAAAAAAGAGAGCTTGAAATTGGGCATTTCTAGAACTTCAAAGAATAAAACAACCAGATACAAACTGGTTCACTTCACCAAACAAAGACAATAGAGCAAAAAAGAAACTCTAATTAAAATGTACTGAAATAAATGTTTTCTTATGCCTCCAAACACATTTATAGTAGTTCTACTACCTTAAATCAGTCAGTCAGGTCTAACATTAATTTTAAAAGTGCACATATATATATATAGACATATAGACATAGACATATTTGCAACAAGTATGTACAGATAATCTGTATCTATGAAGCCTGCAGACAGAAATACCACATGTAGTCAAACGGCTACACAAAATTTTAAACCCAAACCTTTCAACACAGGAAACAATCACCAACCTTGGAAGACGAAAGAATACCTACACTTAAGACAAAACAAACTTCAAGTCTGAAGAGGAGATCATTAATTTAAAGAAACACATTTTGATGAAGCAAAGATAATTGCAATTCTGCTTGAAAAGTTAGGTTCACTATCTGCATACTGAATTACAAATGAACAGAGTAATTGAAGTTTTACTTAACAAAGTGACTCAAATAAAGGAACTGGGGAATCATAAATAAACTACTAAAACCAAGACTTCCTTGGCTGACAAATATCATCATTGCCCCTAATTGCTGGTTCTCCAGCCTGGAATACATACACCAGAAGATTATGGCTCCCGTGTTGGAGATTTTCAAGCCAGTTAAACAAAGATGTTTGAAATGAAAATGCTGGGTTTTGAAATAGAGAAGTTTACCAAGTAAAATGTCATTCTAAACTGTCACTCAACAGCTCATGAAGGGCCACGGAATCTCAATAATCTCATCTTGATGCAGCATGAGCTTTCAAAGCAGTAGTGTCTTGAGTGTTAAAAGACAAAATGAAGACATGAGCTCTGTAGTGTATCTCAAAGACTACTTACCTGAAGCAAAGGCTGTAATTGGAGGAAGTGCCATCGTATCAAGCTTAAGACCTTTCTTTTTTGATTTCTTTTTGTTAATTGAACCTTAAAAAAAGAAGTTAAGATTTTCAATCTCATGGCTAGATCTAAGAATAATAGTTTAAAAAGAGTTGTTTACTAAATATAAAGTTCCTATTAAACTTAGAAAAATTTGACTTACATTAACACAGCACTGCTGTTACCTAGGGCTTGAAGAGCTAAGAACATCAATAGACTTCCTGTCAAAATTCATGTGATGCTGAGCAAATCACTAACCTATTACATTCCCAGATGTACTACTCAATCCATTTGTTCCAGGATCTTGTGCTGACATCCTGAGGCAGAGATCCCCCCATCACAGCTAAAACCACAGTCATATAGATATGACTATATAAAGCAGTATGTAACACCCAGCCCTTTCAATAACCAAGAGTCAGGAATTTCAAATTTATGCCCAAAAGATACATAGAATCAATTAATTTACATCTGTCTAGTCAACTCTGTCTAAATACATACGTATCAGTTGTAATTACACATGCTGAAATGTCAGCTACAGCTTTACACATCTTTAACACAAAAATCATGCCCAATGTTTACCACAGTGAAACAACATACACTACCAGGCTACAGAAATTACTGTTCTTAAGTACAAACAAATCTGAGAGTACACTTCATATACATCAGGAAGGATTGAGTTTGCAGAACAACTGAGGTGAATAGTTTTCATAGAACAGTTAAAGTGAAAATAAGGCCTACCTAATGTTTCAGCTCCTGTTTACATAAATACTTTTCAGGGCTTTTTTCACCAATCTTTGTACTTTCACAGAAATACTTACCACGTCCTAAACTTCTATTGAACTTTTCATGCACTGTTGAAAAAGACTGCAATGTTCCATCTTGACCTGATAAAATATTAGCAGAAAACAGTGAATGGCAAAAATCAGCTTTCCGTTCACTCATAAGCTATCTGAGCAAGAAGAGCAGAAGATAAGCACTTAGAAACCTCAGACACCATAATAAAGTACTGACTAAAAATCCTGGTCCAAGAAATACATACAGATACACTATAAGCAGCAGAACTAATAGAGCCTAATTTTCTCTGGCCTATATCCCCATTCCTACTGCTTTGCCCCATACACGATCAGAATGACACTGCTTTTACAGACATCTTCTCCATGTTCAATTCCTCTGTCCACCCTCCTTTCTTCATCACAATATCTAGCTGTTCCCAGACTTCTATGACTAAAACCTTAAATAAACTGTTACATCCTTCAAATACCTCCATAATACTTCCAAAGCTTTCCCATGACCCCATATACTCCCTCATCAACTAAAATATTCCTTTCTCTATCCCTTGTCTAACCAACACTTGCTGTGGCTGGTTAAGAACTACACCTAGTTTAGCCAGTAAGCTAACCCAAACAAAGATGGTAAAAGCGGAGTTGTCCATCTTTCCTGTAAACCAGGACACTAACAAGACTTCCCTCGTCTACCCAGTGACCAATGCTCACAGAACTGATAAGAACTTAATTTAACAGAGGTACAGAAGGACCAAATTTGAAACTAGTAAACAGGTACTCTTTGTGGGAGAGACATGGACAAGGCAGAACCAGAAACTAAGAGAAAATGAAATTGCACGACACATGTAAAATCAAAGGCACTGAGATGATTTTTAAGAATTAGAGGAATCACAAAACATTTTTACTAGGCCAAACAAGTAAAGGCAATAAATCAGTCAAAGTGAACATAAAGAATTTGAAAGATGATGGAACAATTATAGTATTCAAGCAACCTTGCTGCTATGACACAGAAGTAAGGCAAGATGTATATACTGGGAACTGTGAGAAATGTTAAGCAGGATGAAAGCCAGTGACATTGGTGAAATTTTACAAAGTTAATTTGTGGAGATGCCCATTCTAAGGAAACTAGTAGCACTTCAAAGGCACTGCAACAACACTGCTACCTCATTTCTGTTGCACAAATTTTTACCACTGGTTCAGAGAGGAATGTAGGGAGGCAGTCTCCTTACACTGCAGATACATCAGATCTCAAACCCTAAGATCCTTTTCACTTTGGTGGCTGCCTCTGTGCCCTCCTCATATGTTTCAGTACAGTTAACAAAGCAGTGAACTGCAAAAGCATATGCGAGGATTTGTTAAGCAACTCTTGATTGTTACTCTGGTTCATCCAGTGTGAGCTGAATTACTGTAAAGCAACTAGTTACTTGAATCCAAGTTACTAGTTGGATGACCAGATCGCATGTGGTTTTAGCACAGTGTATTGCTGTGCCATATTAGCTGTAATATTCATGAAAATGTAGTGTAATGTTTTCAGATGTTGCCCATGTAGACAAATTCATTACTTCAGAGTAATTAAAGGTTAGGTGAAGAGTCTCTATTATTCCATTACTGAAGTGTTCTGGGCCACAAAACAGCCTGATCTAGTACTTAATTTCCTAAGGGGTCTATTTATAGATTTTTAAATATGCTAGTTGCTAAGGAAGGGTAGTCATGCATTTTTACACTTTCAGATTAGTATCTCGGTAACAAGCGATCTTGAGAATATATATTACAGACACAATTGAGCCATAACAAATTAGAAAGACACTGCAACCCATAACGTTTGCTCAAACCAGCAGGAAAAGTTGAGTGAGTGGCCTCTAAGTTACTAAATGCATTATGCTGCTTATTTTACCCGTCACAACAGAACTTCCCTCATTGTTACAGGTTTTCATTTTGACCAGCTGATAGTTCCTTAGGAGATAATGAAACAATTTTTATTCAAACACATAAATATGGATGACAAAAGCAGCTCCTAAACTTTTCTACTTGTAACTACTTTTCAGCCTACCCACTGATATATGTTCCTTTAGGGAAGCTGTAAAACAGTTTGATAAGAGTAATAAATGATACTGTCTACACTAATCACCTACTGTGTTTTATAAATACACATGCATAACACATGAAACATAATCTACTGTGTTAATAAAACAAAGACACTTACCCCTGCATGTTTTCTTTATCATAGCAGGAAATCAGACTGAAGAATAAGAACGAGAATTCATACCTGCACTAAGAATTTGCTCTCCATTTTGCCCATGGTATCTGATTTTTGTTGGTGGTGCACTATGTCCCACTCGGCTTCTTAGTACACGTCCTGTACCACCAGGTCCATCGAAAATCCAGACCTGCCTCCCAAAAAAAAAGCAGGAAAACGAAGCTGATAACCATTGCCCTGCCAATAATTACACCTCTTGGCAGTGGAACAGGCTTAGGTGGGAGCTGGTGCAGCAAACTTCACACATTGGCTTTCATCCTTGATCCCAAAACTCTGGAAGTTTCCACCACGGCAGCTGGTTGTTTCCCACTGTTTATTCTGCCCCTCCACCAAAGGCTAATGGCATCAGAAGACATGTAGCACAAGGGACTTTTATCAACAGCAACTGCTCATGACACAGAACACTTTAAAAATAGATCAAGATTTAAGATAGTGCACCGGGATATGAAGCGTGGTTCTGTAAAAGTGGATCCAAAGCTTTGTTCTTCAAGGCTATCACGAAGCAATAAATGAAAAAAATGACATCATGGCAGCAAATCCTTAAACTGCCCCACAACAGATTAACTGCAAGCCAGCAACTTCAGTAACTTGAGTTTTGTTGTATTTGTTTCATTTGAAAACTGCTACTTAAATCCAAACTAAAGATTTACACTTTGGAGGACTACAAGAAAAAAAATTTAACAGCAGATAGCAGAAGCTATTGTAACTTACCCGTATAGCATTATCAGCACCATTAGTAATAAGAAGTGGCTCTCCAGGGACAAACGACATACCAGCTATTGCTGTGGAATGGGCATCTTGCATCTGACACATTAGTTTCTTCTCTTCTAGATCCCACAAAGCAATGTGTCCAATTGGGCTACCAGCTGCCATTACTGGGTGTCCATCTGCTCAAAAAAAAAAAAAAAGTTCAAAAAGTTTGGTTATTGACATTCAGCTCACGCTTATTGACTTCTCACATATTAAAACTGATGCAAGAAAAGGCTAGAATCACAAGAAAAAATTCTCAACCTAATTCTAAAAATAAGATATGTTTTAACTGAAATATTCTAGTATTTTAAACGGAAAAGTTCACTGATAATAAAACCAGGATTTCTTCACATCAGGTAACAAATATATCCAAACCCAGAAGCCGATGCTAGAGGTTTTGCTTGAAAGCACGAGAGATATTGCAGCTCTACCACTTTCAAAAGTTACTCTATACCCCACATTCTTCCCCAAGCTTACTCATCTTCACACCTCAGGATGTGAGAGCTACTGCATCACCACTCTAGAAGTTATCAGTCCTTTTTTTTAAATCCTCTCAATTTTTTTGCTGAACAGCTTGCAAAAATAAATTCCAGAAGTTGTTCACATGTTTATTCAATCATTCTAAACAATAATTAAAACATCAATTCACAGAATGTCTTTTTTCTATCTGCTCTATCCTCTCTAATATTAAGGAGATAAACACATCATACTAAAAACATACTGCAAATATTCAAGTAAGTTTTAAAACCTATCATATCAAGATAAAATTCCACCAAATATCCTGCAAAATTGTTAACTAATCTTTTCATTCCAATGGAAGAAAAAAGCCAGTTTCCAATTTGCAATTACACACATCATAGATATCTAAACTAGACAAGCCTAGGGACTTCTTTTTCCATAAAGCTTCACAGATATGGAAACTTGACAAGTTCATTTAATTGACATGAAAATCACTTTAATCAAAGACTAAAATGAGTGCATGAGTTCAAAACAACCAGGTTGTATTTACACTAAATATCCTAAGTATAAAGACAGGAAGAGAGAGATTAGAGAATGTCTGAAAGCCACACATTCAAGCAGGCAATGGAAGTTATTTAACTATATTAACATCTTGAGTCAAATCACTGGTGCAAAAAGGCACTCGTTCCACTTCTTTCTACAAGTCTCTCCAGTAGCATTCTTCCTCAACAGGGTCTGCATCAATCTATATTCTGTTAAGATCTGCAGGTTTTTCTATTCAAATGAGAGATTAGATTCAGTATCAACAGCTCTGCAGGAAGGATACATTAAAGTAACTAGCTTTAGAAATTAGTACATGCTTGTTAGACAAAAAAAAATAAAAATCCATGAATATAAATATTGTTCACCAATAACATCCATTCAGCAGTCACCCCACTCTTAACATTCTAACTTTGTTTTGGAGGGGGAAGACACTACTGAGAAGCAGGTTTGCACACTAACTTACAGTGTACTGATTGCACTAACTCTGATAACTGTGTACTGTGTTAGCTCTTGGCACATGGAAACATAAACTGTCTTACTTTTCTTTGAAAAAGGAGCATTGTATGTCACACGTCCTGTGTAGAGTCAGTACACAATAAAATGCTATAAAACTGCCAGTACGATGAAGATGTATGATCTCCCTTACTTACTGGTAACTTTTCTAGATTATCTGCAGCCTTTGAAAACTAAAACTCTCAGCACAAATTTTGATTCCGAAATGCTTTATCAAAACATATTTTCCTATCTTCCACTTAAGTGTTAGTAATTTCACACATATTTTCACTAAAAATGCTAAGACTTACCTGTACGAAAAGATATTGCTGTGATAGGACCCCAGTCTTGTTGAAATTTCATCAGAGTTTCATCAAACTTAATATTATGTACAATGATATGACCAGATACAAGACCAACTGCAACAACATCCACTGCTGGAGCCTACAAGAAAGAATGAACAGCAACTGAAATGAAAAATGAAAAGCTTGTTGCCACACAACTAATACCAGTATATACAAGACAATGTAGCTAAGTCAAGGACAAACAGTAAAGAAATAAATAAGGCATCTCGCATGAGATCTTCTACGTATATAACCTTAACGCATGACTGAACATCTGATAAATCCAAACAAAAACAGAGAGATGCAAGATTTTGCACTTAATCTCCATTGAATCAAACAATTCTGTTTCCAGAAGCTGGAACTCTTTTGAAAAACACCTCCCTAAACTGCTGTTTTCAGTAGTTCTGTTAGACCATTATGCACCATGCCACACAGCCCATATTTACAAGTTTTACCCAGGACAACTGCAGACCGTTTTCAAAGCTGTCACCAATGCTACCAGTAAGTTTCAATTAATTTTTTTATCTACAAAAATACAGCAAACCCAATTACAAAATCTTTTCTTGAATCAGCAAAATCTGTATTTTATTAACCTCCAAGGCAAAATAAATCTAGCAAAAACCTACCAGTGTAACAGAAGTTACATGATACACATGCATCTTGCAGGCAAACTGTTTCTGTGAATTCATTATAACATCAGTGAGTAAAGACTACAGACATGGTAAACACAAAACAGCTAAGACACCAAATGCAAAAGAACTAGGACTAGAGGAATGGCAGAAGAAAGAGCCTTTAAGTCTACCTCTCTTCAGTGTCTAAAATGCTCAACAGAGGGTTCTTAACATTACCTGAGAGAACACAAGTAAGCTTTATTGTTGTAATTTTAAACAACACTATTTTGCCTGCTGTTCCTTCACCAGTAAGAAAATAAGATACCAAAAATACTAACCTGTTCAAGACTTGTGACTGCTAAGTGCCACCCTGCAAACGAGTATAAGAGTTTGCTGGAAAACAAAAACCAAAAAACATAAATAAGGTAACCCTTGGAGATTTTCCATAACAAAATGGATGCTTTAAATGCACTTACACAGAAGAGTACATCAGCTTTCTGTTCTTATAAATTAGTTAAAAGGAAAAAAACCCCTGCGATACTAATAAGTAAGGCTAAGAATAATACTTACGGTTAATTTTTATTGAAAAAATTAGTGTCATCCATTAGCACCTCAAAGGTGACAAAGTTACATAACATGAACAGGGATGAATACCCCTTCTATGCCAGCTGCTCCCCATGCGAACACACCTCTACAGAATTCTTTAACATAAAAAGCCAGTCTTGGACCAACTTCTTATAATAACAAACCCTTCACTTGCAGAGTAACTTCCCTAAATTAAGATATTAATGCATATTACAAGCATCTTGTTTCTTTCAGAAATGGTAGCAGCCAAAATGTGAAGCAGGACTGTTCACTGAGAAGGCAGTCATGCAGTTCTTAAGGGTGAAATTATGAAGACAGTATTTAAGAACAGACATGACTAAAAATCACCACATAGTTTGCCATTCTTAAAAGACTGCTAGCAGCCATGCGTTACCACCTCTAACTTCCCTTTCTTGCCAGAGACCATCAAACTTTCCCCTCAGTTCTTCCAATTTCTTTTTTTGTCTAATTGTGCCCATACCTCTCTACAAAATAATCTATGTAGGGAACAAACTCTCAGAAATACAGATTGATTAACCCAGCAACATTACTAAAAGAGCAGGGACAGTCTCATAGTTTTTCTTTAATTGTGTAAAAACTGAAACCATCCAAGGAAGACTTTTTGTCATCTAGGATGCATTGCACCTCAAATGCTGTGACAAGCACTGAAGAGACAAAAGAGTACTATGAGTATTTTTAGGTTATTCCTATTTCCCGATTTATAGAGTATACATGGCGTCTCCAAAACATTAGAATATGAAACAAAAAAATTAGCAGTGATATCATTGAAAGTATACAGTCATTATGAGAATAAAACACCGAACTATGCAAGCTGAATCAACACCTATTTGCAGTATGGTACATTATCATGCAGGGAAGTTCACTGTAGCTGTTAACTTTCATGAGTTAGAAAAGCAGCCGATCGTGGTAGGCATGAAATACTGCTATTATGGACAGTGCTCTACTGGGACATGCTCAGAGACAACTACATGTCTACACATTTCTTATTTAAGAGTGTAAGGATCAAATGCTAGTAATTACCTCCACACTACCTGCCAGCACTTCTTGGACCCACAACAACCAAAAAATAACCTTGAAAGAAGGGAGGCAGAAGGCCTGAACATGCATTTACTATTATTTTAATTATTTTCATGGGAAAGCTATATGATTCCAAGAAATAAAGAAAAAATATGTAATAAAAAAAAAAAATCCTGAACAATCTCTGCCATTTTGCAGGGATAGTAAACAACACGCAACTTGAAAGGCATCAGCATTCAGGGAGCAGCAGCATTCTTTGCTCCTGGAGGTAGACCAACTGAAAACTTATGCCAAAGGACTCGGTACAAGATTCCATGTTCCAAATCTATTGTACTTAGAACTATTATTTGTTGCACATGAAACGACTTGGAACATGAAGTATATCCAAGTTATTAAAAATCTTACTTGGATCTTATATTCCATAGCTGCAAGCTCCCTTGTTCACTCCCAAGGAGAATTTTATTCAAATAGGTGCTCGGATGCAGAACTGCAGAAACTGCAAAAGTGGCCTTATCAAAATCCACTCGAAGATACTCCTCTGCAAAAAAGTGAGAAACAACGTTAGCATGGCTACCCCTACAAAATCTGCAGGCTTGTCATCCCATGTCAAATGTAAAGGCAGACTTGATGTTTACTCTATACAAATCCCATAATTGGTGTTTCTCACATTAGAGGATTAGCTAATGCATAACAGGACAGGCTAAACTTGTTTACATTATAACATCTGTTGGCTTGAAGGTATATTTTTTCCCTATAAGCCTACCTAGCAAAACAATGCTGGCAAAACTGCAGTGATTTATATCTTTCTGAAGGATTCCTGCTCCTGCCTGAGCAAAACCCCTCATCTGATTAGCATGCCTTTTGTTTGTTATAGCAACTTCAAGTCTCTAAAGCCTGTCTGCAGCCACTTTTGAGACCCAGCATCCAGGGAATGACATTGGTCACACAAATAAAGAAAAAAATTCAGGGCACTGAACCAGGTTTTCATAAGGTACTTTACAATGGCAGGAGAAGATGCTGACACAATCGCAAGGTTATTCGTAAGAATTTAGTCTTACCCAGACTGGTAAGTGTCAAGGAACTACAGGACTTCAGAGATGGTGCCAAAGCTGCTGTATCACAGTCTTTACCAGAAAATGGAAGACTAAAATTCCATTTCCATATAAGCTTCTCTCTTTACACCTATGTGGAGCCTTACTGGGTCTCTGCATGTGGTGCAGGATCCATTCATGAAAAATTATTGCAGGATTAGGACTTCAGATTACCATTTAAGTAGCACTACCATTTAAGGTTTTACTTTTCTTTTTTAAGAATAAACTACTTCTGAACATACACATTTAGAAAACCCTTTTTTTCAAATTACTGAATGTTTAACAATGCTATCCTATAAAGCAGTAACAGAAATAGTGTGTCCCACCTTCTGACTGTATATTCCAAACAATAAGAACATTATCAACATCCACAGAGATGACATGATCACCAAAAGACTGCAGAAGGTGTATCCTTGCCTTGTGACCTTCATAGGTATGAACCACCTATAATTTCAAAATAGAAATGTTTTCAATATAAGCCGTTAAGGTAGCATATCATGGTGACATAATACTTGAGGACAGCCAAAACATGTCAGCAACATGGAAAGGCTACACAACTTGGAAGATACATAATTTTCCCTGATACTTAAAACTGCTGGCAAAATATTTTTGATAATTTACTTTTAATTTCAATTCATTTATGTAAATTATTTTTTATCTTTCAGTAACTACTTAATTACCATAATTAATACATAAAATGCAGGTCAGCCATTACGGAATTTGCTCTGACATTCTCCTATTTTAAACTTTTTTATTCCTCCCTCTACAGTGTTTGTTTCCTTAAAATTGAAGGTACTAAGCGTCTAAGGAAACAGGTGTTTGTAGAAAATTAACTGTCTTGAAAACACAAACACTACACAACTGTTTTGTACTACTATGCAATAAGTAAACTAATAAAAACCTCTTTGTTCCTGGCAAAAGCATGGAGAATATTGTCGTATGAAGCAAATATCAACATGCGGTCTGCGGCCAAACATGTAATGTCTTGTGGCAAAGCATTACCTGTTAATCAAACAGAAGAAAAAGCTCAACATGTTTCAGGTTCCTAAGAAAAGAGAAAGCCTGACAGTGTACTTATTTAGCATGGTGACCCACCAAGAAAGCTCTCCCGTTGAACACACTGTTGGAATTTCTTACAGAAATGCACAGGTTTCACATGAATGCAAGTATTATCATAAATAACATCACACCGGTAGCAACAACTTAAGTAACATCAGATTGATAGATTGCAAGGTGGTTCTTTTGAAAAACACTTACTAACAAATTACTGAATTATCACTGTAAGAAAAGGCACACGTTATATATAAAGGGCTTATAGAGAAATTATCCCAACACAACACTTCTGCAGACTGTCAAAGCCCCACAGCCCACTGGGCTGGAAACACAGATGACAAATCAAACTCTGAGCATTAGCAATGCCTATTTGGTTAAACCATTCTGCAGACTTGGAAGCTACTGACCCAATCCTGCACCCGCGCCCTGACCACAGGTAAAGACACTGAGAGTTTACTGCTCTAAGAATAATACATCTCAGTCCTCACCTTGTGACTGGTTCAGAAATAATATCTGCTATTGTCATCTGCTACTTTACTAGCTCAAATGGTAAAAGAGTCAAAGCTCCAGATGACAATGAGAAGCTGCCAGTGTGGTCCCAAATGTTAGAAAACTGAAAAAAACCCCACAACCCAACCCTCTAGGGAAATACAAAAATGCAAATCACAGCACTTAACAATTGTACAGAGAAACACCAGGTCAAAAATCAGTCACTGTGGGAGTGTGCCTATGGTACAAACTTACACAGTCACACAGCAGCCTTCCTCACAATGTTGCCTTGTATTATGAATTATTATCAGACACAAAGAATCCTGTTCAAAATTGCTATACTGAAGCACAGCTTCAATGGGAAGAACTGAACCAGGAAAACAAAAAAAGGTTGCACTTTATGAGAGGCCTCATTAGACATCTTCCCATAGTGCCTCTGAAGCCACTTAGGCCTACAGTCAGGTTACAGATACCTGGCACTCCACACTAGCTGTATGCAAGCCTGCTTAGGCCAAGACAGTTTTAGGTACACATCAATTTAAAAGTTCAGAGCATCAACCACATAACATCAACAAACCAACAACACCACACAGAGATGCACATAATTTATTTTTTCAATCGCAGTTTTGCATGTAAACGTCTCCATTTCTCAAAAAGCTTAAATTATTATGTCTGTAAGAAGATGTAGCCCACCGAAAAAGACTTCACAGAATGTGTGACGTTTTTACCATTTTCTAATCTGAAAACAGAAGTTGCATTAGTGTTTAGAGCTGTAACTATTCACTGCTGATCCTCTAAATCTAGTCCCAGTTGTGTGACATGTTATTTATTCTCAAGTCTGTTAGTGAAAAATATTTTGCTTTATGAGGTCTGTGTAAAAACTCTGTGGTATACAGAAGTAAAACCCCTACTTTTCAAAACAGCTTACATCTCACTGTATCATCTAAACATCGGTGGGAAGGGGCCTTTGGAAATCATCTAGTTCAGCCTCCCACCCAGCCCCTTCCAAACCTGGATTATCAGCAGCGCTAGACTGGGTTAACTGCAGCTATACCCAGCTCAGTCTTGAAAACTTCCGGGGAAGGAGATCGCTCACGCTCTACACGGTGCTACAGTTCCGTCTTAGTCAGGGCCATTTTTCCTAACCTCCACTGTGAGCCTCTCAAGCTGCAATCTGTGACTGTCACCCCTTGTTATTCTGCCCACCATTACCACCACAAACTCAGCTCTGCCATCTTCATAACTGCCCTCCAGGTAACAGCAGCCTCTAGGTTGCCCCGTATTTTTCCCTTTGCGAGACTAAACAAATCCAATTACTTCAATGTCTCCTCTCATACTGCGTGCTGTAGGCCCCTGACGCTCCCCATTTCCTCAGCATCCCTCCTGAAAGAGAAAGGGGAGCAGTGGGAGAGAGAGAACACCCTAACTGGGTATTGCAGTCCAGGTGTGGCCTCACCAGCACAAAGTACAGGAGAATAACAGCTTTCCCTGATTATCTGGCTGCGTTCCTAAGGTAGCTCAGTACACGGCTTGCCTTATTCACAGGTACTGCATTGTTGGTCAGTTTCTGGCTTGTTCTGTCCCAGGTGCAGGATTCCGCCCTCGCTGAACCTGGCGAGGTTTCTGTTGGCCCAGGCCTAGTGTTTTGCAACACCTCCCCAGGCTGGAGCTCTGGCATCTCTGGGTGTCAGCTACTCCTGCTAACCCAGTACCGTCTGCAAATTTTTACTCATTATGCACACCACCTCATCAGCCAGGCTGTCAGTGAAGGTGCTGAACAACATGGGCCCTGCTGTTGACACCTAGGGTGCTACACTTTGTTACCAACTGCCAACTGGATGTCAAGCCATCAATTCATATCTTTTGTATCCAGCAGTCCAGCCAATTTTTAAGACTCCCTGAAGACTTTCAGTCCCATCCACACCTGTTCTGTTCCTGTAATTATTTTCCTCCAACAACACAGCCTTCTAGTAACCACAAAAACAACAAAAAAAGGGATCTGGAATTAACAGCTTTATTCACTGCTCACTCCTTAAGGCCTAGGGGTATTCTTGGAAGAACAAGATGACAAAAGTAGGAGGTTCACAAGGTATATTCCTAAGAGAACTAAGTTACAGTTGCAACAGCAGTTTCCAAATTTATATCCAATATTTCTGAGACTACTTTCAACATATTTCAGTGTAAATATTAGTACATGCAATTATTTTTTTCATTTTTCAGTTGAGAAGCAAGTACAGATGTCTCACACACATCACCCCCCCCCCCCCCCACACC